GGGTGGCCGGAGCCGTGTGTGGTGGCCGGAGCCTTGTGTAAGGGAGAGAAAGAAAGTGGTGGCTAGGGTTTGTGAGAAATGATTTCTGCAGAGTTTCAGTAGGAATTTAGACGTACCTCCACCATTGTGTGTGGCTATGCTTTTATAATGGTCTTGGAGGCTAGGGTTTCAGAGGAATAATTCCGTAGATGGAAGGGAATTATTCCTCCCCTTTATGGAATTGATTTGATTAATTAGGGATTTGATTTATTAGGGTAAATCAAATCCCTAATTGTGGTAGGTATCAAATCAAATCCCATTTCAATTAGGTAACTCCTCATTTAATTGAGAATCGGGGTAGAAATTAGGAATCAATTCTCAACCCAATTAGGTAGTCTTCAATTAAATTGGGTAATCCCCAATTAAATTGAGTAACTCCCAATTAGGTTGATTAATTCCCAATTAGGTCAAATAATCCCCAAATGTAATGAATTATTTGACCTAGGGTTTTGACTTAATTTGGTTACCACACTAACCTTTGAAAGCTTCAAACCCAGTGGTACCCAGTGCTTTAAACCTTAGGAAACAACTGAAACCCAATTAAGTTGATGGTCACCTTCAACACCAGCAGACGCACCAAGTTCAGTAGTAGAGGTTTTTTTTAAGAGAAAAAACCCATCACCTTGACCTGTTATAGCAGGTTTTCTTTAATTTTTTAAAGAAATCAATTAGCATGTGCAACGCACATGCTTCATAAAAGGCCAAAGGTGCACTATAGACGTTGTCAGCCACCTACCAAAAATTCTCAGTTTCTGAAAATTTCATTCAGTTGAATCAGTTCTGGGTTTCATGAAATCTCTTCCCGTTGCGCTTCTGATAAACCTCTAACTTCTTCAATTCCGGAAATGCCCCTCCTGAAACCTCATATTCCCAAGTCCTCTTCCTTCCCCTGTGCTCCCTCCGACACCCTGCTCGCAGAAAAAGCAATCACATACCTCAAACGCCATCCCCACAATCTCAATTCACTATCTTCCTGTTTTACCCCCGAGGCAGCCTCCTATTTACTCCAAAAGTCCCAATTCGACCAGCCCCTAACCCTCAAGTTCCTCAGTTGGGCTCGAAACCATGGTTTCTTCACCTTCCAATGCAAGTGCCTCGCCCTCCACATCCTCACTCGCTTCAAGCTGTACAAGAGCGCCCAAGCCCTCGCCGAGGACGTTGCCGTCAATTCCATCGACGACAGGGGCAATTTGGTCTTTCAGTGCCTCAGTGACTCCTTGCATATCTGCAATTCGAGCTCGGCGGTTTTTGACTTGGTGGTGAAGTCTTACTCTCACTTGAATTTCATTGATAAGGCTCTGAATATTGTTCATTTAGCCAAAGTTCATGGATTTATACCTGGTGTGCTTTCATATAATGCAATTTTAGATGCAATAATTAGGTCAAAAGGGTCTGTTCAATTTGCTGAGGAGGTGTTTAGTGAGATGATTAGGAATGGGGTCTCCCCGAATGTTTATACTTACAACATTTTGATTAGGGGTTTTAGTGGAGCAGGGAATTTGAAAATGGGGCTGTACTTTTTTGGTGAAATGGAAAGAAATGGATGTTTGCCGAATGTGGTTACTTACAATACGTTGATTGACGCATACTGCAAATTGAAGAAGATTGATCAGGCATTTGAACTGTTGAGATCGATGGCGTTGAAGGGTTTGGAGCCAAATTTGATTTCATATAATGTGGTAATCAATGGGTTGTGTCGAGAAGGGAGGATGAACGAGACAAGTCAGGTTCTCGAGGAGATGAAAAGAAAAGGTTTTGTTCCTGATGAGGTGACTTGTAATACACTTATTAGTGGGTATTGCAAGGAAGATAATTTTCACCAAGCACTTGTTCTGCAAGAGGAGATGCGGAGGAATGGCTTGTCTCCAAATGTAGTCACTTATACAGCATTGATTAATGCTATGTGTAAGGCTAAGAATTTGAATCGAGCAATGGAGTTTTTCGATCAGATGCATGTTAGGGGACTTCGTCCAAATCAGAGGACGTATACTACGTTGATTGATGGATTCTCCCAACAGGGGTTCTTAAATGAAGCTTATGATGTTCTGAAGGAAATGACTGGGAATGGATTCTCACCTTCGGTTGTGACTTACAATGCACTTATCAATGGATACTGCTTATTGGGGAGGATGGAAGATGCCATTGGAATCCTACAAGATATGACAGGGAAAGGGTTGTCCCCTGATGTCATAAGTTATAGTACTATTATAACTGGGTTTTGTCGGCATCAGGAATTGGAGAGTGCATTTAGAATGAAGCTGGAGATGGTGGAGAAGGGTGTATCACCTGATGCTGTTACCTATTCATCACTCATTCAAGGTGTCTGCCAGCAAAGAAGACTAATTGAAGCTTGTGATCTATTCAAAGAAATGTTGAGTATGGGTATGCCTCCTGATGAATTTACATACACAACATTGATCAATGCTTACTGTGTGGAAGGTGATTTAAATAAGGCTCTTCAGTTGAATGATGAAATGATACAAAAAGGTTTCCTACCTGATGTTGTTACCTACAGTGTGCTTATTAATGGACTTAACAAACAAGCTCGGACGAGGGAAGCAAAGAGGCTTCTGCTCAAGTTGTTCTACGAGGAATCTGTCCCTGATGGTGTCACATATAATACACTAATAGAGAACTGCACTAATGGTGAATTTAAGAGTGTGGTAGCCCTTGTAAAGGGATTCTGTATGAAGGGTTTGATGAACGAGGCAGACCAAGTTTTTGAGACAATGTTTGAGAGAAGACACAAGCCTAACGAAGCAGTTTATGATGTTATTATTCATGGTCATTGTAAGGGTGGAAATGTTCAGAAGGCATATAATTTGTACAAGGAAATGTTGCATTCTGGATTTGTTCCGCATACTGTGACGGTTATTGCGCTGGTTAAAGCACTTTTCACAGAGGGGATGAACAATGAATTGAGTCAAGTCATAGGGAACACACTGAGAAGCTGTCAGCTTTCTGATGCTGAACTTGCAAAACTACTTGTTGACATCAACCATAAAGAAGGAAATATGAATGAAGTTTTTAATGTGCTTAGTGACATGGCTAAGGACGGCCTCCTTCCAAATAGTGGGGTAAGAGCTTCTGCAGGGGGATAAATAATGGCAAACATTATCTTATTATAGGGAGAAAAAATGATGGAAAACGTTCAAGCTGATTGCAATCTTTTTGGCCGGCAAAGTCAATGATGAATAGCATGTCGAAATGCACAATCACCTTGATTGTCATTATTGTCAGATAAAATACTTCAGTGCTATAGTGGCTTGCTCAAATGAGTCTGAAGCAATTGGAAGTGACACTTTTGGCTCTTATACAGAACAAGAAGATGAACTTCTTCTTCAAGAAATGGGAAAGAAGACAAAACTGTAGGGGCAATATCTGCCATGTTTATGGAGAACAAAATGTGGTAGCAGATGCTCTTTCCTGTTTGGGATCTCTCTTATTGTTTCCGTTTTTGTATTTTGGAGTCTTGCCCTCCTCTAGTGTTGCAAGCCTTGTGGCTGAGGATGCTTTTGGTTTCCCGTGCCTAGGGACGTCCTAGCCCTAGTAATGGTCTTTCTTGTTGTAATCGAGGATGCTTTCCAATCACAATACCATTCAAGGTACTTAGTTTGTATTCATAATTGGGTTTTAAATTTTCAAGAATAAGCTGAGTGATTTTGTTCATTCAATTCGTTGTTGTCATACGTCTAGGGAACAAGCCAAATGGTTAAGTTTATCTTTCTCTTTTGTTATATATATATATTTCTTCTTATTTTAGAAGTGGCTATAAAAGGTCCCTTGCTTGAGCTGGGTTCCGGCTTAAAGCTCAAAGGCTTCATTCCTTTTGCCCAACTGAACTATTTTGATGGAAGCTCGGACTTAGACCAGATCAATGAGCCGCCCATGTCATATCTTGGTGGCATGGCATATCTCTCAGTGCATTTGCTAAACAGTTCATTATGTTTGGTTCATTAGGTGTGATGAAAATCCTATCAATCTCTTTGGCCTGCCATCTTTTGATGTCATTGCTGTTCGGGGCTGTAGTTGGTTCCCAGCTGTTTCTTTAACAGGTGTTTTTGAAGAACTGAAGAAAAAATCTGAGTCTTGACCTATATTTTCTTGGTCCATATGGTATCTTTTCTGGGTTTGTTCAAAAGAAGTTTTATGTGGGAAGTGTAGGGTTTCCTCCTAACAATTTAAAACTAGTTCACAAGAAAACTGATGTCTGTCTTATTGCTGAGCAAGATGCCTTGGTACATATGTCAGATATCCATCATTAAAGCTAGAAGTTCTGGTCTACTTGATATATTGATTGTGCTTTTTGTATGTAATTATATTTGTATTAAACTAATGTTCTATTTTCATTTTTATTATCAGAACTCTTTGTATTCCACTGAGGATGAGAATTCCCAGTTGAAAGCCTTTGATTTTGGCTTATCAGATTTTGCCAAACCAGGTTTTCCTTTCTTGAATAATCCAGCTCTTTCTTATTATCAATGTCTCAGTCTTTGGAGTTTGGCGTGGGATTTTAATACTCACTCTGGCTTACAGATGAGAGGCTGATGTTTGGAGTATAGGTGTAATATCATATATTCTTTTATGTGATAGTTGCCCATTTTGGGCACGGACTGAGTCTGGGACTTTTCGGGCGGTGTTGAAAGCTGATCCCAGATTTGATGAAGCACTTTGGCCTTCTTTATCTCTTGAAACAAAGGATGTTGTTAAATGCTTGTTGAACAAGGACCCTCAGAAATGAATGACTGCATAGCAGGCTTTAAGTGAGTTTTCCCTATCTCTATTATGTTCTAAGTTTCCGCCATCACTTTCCTGAGTCACTGATCATAATCTTTTGTTGGCAGGTCATCCTTGGATGAGGAATTATAACGATGTAAAAGTGCCTCTTGATATTTTAATATTTAGACTCATGAAGGCTTATATGTGATCGTCATCCCTTTGAAAGGCTGCTTGAAGGGTGTGTATATGTTGACAAAAGAAAGAGAACTTTTTCTCGAATTTTGCCCATGCAGAATCAGATTCTTGGTCTTAAGAAATTTATATATTTTCTTGATGAATAGGATTCTTGTTTCTGTGTTCTAAAACATTTTAAAAGTTGAAAATAATTGCTAGTATTCCATAATTATAATGATGACTCAATGAACCCATCAAGGCCTGTTAAAAGTAGGGGAAAGGACAGGGTCTGCTAAGGTGTTATCATCTGATACTCCAACCTCTTCATCCAAATTATACTTCTTTATGTGTGCCTAATTGTGTTTTTAATTTTCTTGTTTTTGTATGTTTTATATTGTTCATGACTTGAAATTTTGGCATATATATAATTAACATTTCATTTTGTGGCAGGCCTTATCTTAGACATTGACTGTAGATCATTCTTTTATCTGAAGGAGAAGTTTGCACTATTGGATCTCATTGCATCGGTAATAAATTGGTTCCTAATTGTTTTGCTTCGATGTTCCATGACTTTTTCTATGGTGTTAGGCCTCGTAGGTTGTAAAACTACTGACTGGTTATTTCTTCCATGACAGCTAAATGGACTTCAATACAGAAGAATGGATTTTGAAGAGTTCCGTGCCACTGCATTAAGTGTTCATCAGCTTGAGGCACTTGATCGTTGGGAACAAAATGCTCGATGTGCATGTGAACTTTTTGAGAAGGATGCAAAACAGAGCAATTGTCATTGAAGAACTTGCTTCAGTAAGTTGAAATTTTAATGCTGCATTTTGAAGTCTTGCTATAAATGAAATAAACAGTTTGATAACATGGGTTGATTTTTTATTATTCAATATGTTATAAATTGGACTTGATTTACATCTCTAACAAATTTCTCTTCTCCTTGTTACTGTGAAGAGAACTAGTGATCACAATATGCCACAATAACTTGTTTTTCTTTTCACTTGTTTTGACCATGTCCTCTTACGTTTCGAATTGAAGCAATGTAGTTTACTCCTCCATCACAATAATGATTTGCTATATCCTGCGAAAACGAAGAATTTGAACTACTGCAGTTAGTAATGTTAGTAATCCTGATTTTAGTTGAGCTCACTGTAAGCAATTTCAATGCTCAAATTCGGAAAAATGGACTTATTATATCGTATATAGACTATAATACGGACGGGTGTGGGTGGCAGGAAAGCTGTATGGTATATGCTCTATACTGACCTTTGACGCCATATCAGTAAACAGTGTCCCGCATCAAAGGGTTTTGGCCGCAAACATAAGAAAACACAAAATAAGCAAAACCAAACCAAACCAAAAATATAAAGAATTATTATTTTTTAAATATATATAAAATATTGTGCCCAGCTCATTTCTCTCCTAACATTCTAGGGTTGCTTACTAGGTGAGTTGATAAGTATGATGGATGCATTTTCATCACAAAAAATGGATTCTCAGATTTGAAGAGCTTTAAGCTTTTGAGTAGGCTAAATCTTCAAGTTCTGTCTTTGCAAAAGTTCTCAATGTCGAAGGAGCTTTTGATCTCAGTGTAGTAGACTTTCCTCCGTGATCAGCACCTGTTTATAGCTCCCATGATTCAAAACCATGACAAGTCACTAAAGAAAAAGAAAGACAAAAAAATATTCTTAATAGGCAGGCACACACAAAAACATAACCAAATTTACATAATTCTCTAAGGAAGCTAGGTGAACTTACCATGAGTTCTATTTTCCCTGTCATGCTTCATTCCTTGATCTTCAGTTTAACTCTCTGAAATGGGAATGTTTCCCTCCATGTATGAAGAATAACAAGCAACCATGCTTTAGGGAGTAAAATTTCGTGAATTCTGGCCAGTCCTTTTGCAACCAAATCTCTCCATCGAATGAACTAGTCAGTTTTACTGGCCAAACTGCACCATCTGGAACCTCAAGGAATATTGTGCCCCCCATGAAATCTACATATTCCATCACAACCATCTTTGGAATTTTCTACAATTAATTACTTCCTCAAATTAAGATGTTCATGTATAAAATATGTGCATATAGAACCAGAGTACATGTAAAATAAATAAATAAAAATGATATAAAGATTGGACGACTTGCGGCATGCAGCTGGTTAATTTCCTTTGAGTTTGAGTTACCCTTGGAAAACTAATTAAATTTAGGGTTAAAGAGTATACCATTATCTTTTTCTTTTAGATGAAAAAGGAAAACATGTTAAGGTCTAAAATTTATAAAAAAGCTGAAACTAGAAAAGATCTTCATCCAAGTCATCATCTTCTTCATCTTCATCTTTGAGGGCTAATGTTAAAGCTGCCAACGTGTTCGTTTCAAGCCATGCGGTTTGCTGTTTCTTCGTTGTATAATTATTTGCTGGCAATGACCCTTACCATATTAAGGGACGGCCCCAGAATGACTTTGAAGAATGGGTGGCTTGAGAGGAACTTGTTGGCAGCTTTAACGTTAACCGTCAAAGATGAAGATGAAGAAGATGATGACTTGTATGAAGAGGAGTGGGGATTTGTTCTGTTTTTCTCTTGAGGCAGAGGAGATGGCAGAGGACCTTAACCTTTTGTGTGCTTTGTTTTTGGGCAGTGGAAGGTACTCCAAACTTTCAACAGACTTATCATCATCATGTAGACCAGTTTCTTCAATCTGGGTTTTTGGGCAGGGTGGAAAATACTCCAAACTTTCAACAGACTTGTCATCGTCTTCTTCATTAGTTTCTTCAATCTGGGATTTTTAATCTCTATGCCGCTTTCATCAAATATCAAAATGTGGAATTTTGAGTTCCCTTCGTATGGGAAAACTAAGCATTTGCCAAATTGCCATATTCAAGAGAGTGAAACTCTGAGAACTCTGGCCAACCATTTTCAAACCAAACCTCACTATTACATCTTCTGAGTTTGATTTTCCATTCTGAACCACTTGGGAACTCAAGTTGTATTTGATCTGATAGATGCTATCCATATTTGTCCAGAAATGTCTTGGGAACCGTCTGCACAAAACAAAAACCTATCATGTAGCTATTTCGTAAAGCAATCTATAGCTTCTCTTTTAATTGAAGTCCTCGGCTAAGAAAAAAAGAAGTCGTATATGCACTTGCAAATCAGTACATACATATGGTTAAAGAGAGAGAATTCGGTTTGCTTACAAGTTTTTTTTTGTCTCTAGAAGAAGTCTCGTTTAGGATCATGTTCAAAAACTGGAGAGTTGTAGCAGAAAAGTTTGGACCTTCATGATCAATTTTCTGGCCAGGAGAAGGAGCCATTGTAGGTAGCACTTCAAAATAAAGCTTTGAGACGTATGTTCAAAATGAAGACCTTAAGGCAATGTCCAAGTGAGGGCTTTATCCTCAAATATAGCTCAAAATCCATCTCCAAGAGTGAGATACACAAAGGGTTACAAAAATAAGGGAGGGTTACACAAATGGTCAATTCCTAAAATGAGGGCCCACATGTGGCCCTTAGGCCAGCCCGGGCTAAATAATTGGATAGGGCCCAGCTGACATCACCTAGCCATTAGGTGACATTAACTAGCTTTTTATTTAAATCTGAAAAAAAATTCTAAATTTTTTGTATAAATATTCTTATATAATTTCTCACAACATCTTCATCATTTTACATATTATCCTTCCCCAATTTCATCATTTTACATAAGTTCTCACAATCTCTTCATTATTTTACAAACTATCCTTCATCCTTTTCCATTTAAAGTAAATTTTAAGTTGTTTTTAAAACAAGAAAAAATCTAATCATAAATCTATAGGGCTAATCACGTGCCGACATGTGGATGTCAAAATCCTATCCCATAATATTTTTATCCTCTAAAATGTATTTTAAATAGGATATAAATAGTTGTTTAATTAAATTAACTAATAAATTTAAATAATATACTAAAAACTATTAAAATATTAAATTTAGCCCTTTGTAACTGGAGATGGTTAAAATGTAACTTGACACTATTTCTTATAAAATCATTTATTAGAGGGCTAAATGTAGCTCGTGCCTGAATATTGCCCTCCTCACCTAAAGATGGCATTAGCTTCATTTTTATAGTGGATTTGTTCTTTGTTGTATTCATGGGCGGAACTAGGTAGAGGGCTACCATGGGCTCTAGCCCAGGTAGCCTTTTTATAAAATTAAAATATATTACATATATTTTAATGTTATTCATCCCATAAAAATTTAGTAACCCACTCAAATGTAGTTTTGTAACCCATTGTCTACTCAATTTTTGTAGGCATATAATCATAATATATTTAATTTGTTTGCTCAATTAGTAAAATAATCTCTTAATAAACACTCATGATTTTAACTCTCAACCTTTTACTATTTTATCCCAATCTGTACTTTAATATATTTTTAGAAAAACTATAGAAACAGTAAGTATCCAAACAAAAATTGGTCCTTAGATTTTAAGCTAAACAACTTTAATTAGCCCACCCATTGAAAAATTCATGTTTCCGCCCTTGGTTGTATTCATATAGTTGCATTTGTGTCATCTCAGCTAAAGTGAAGTACAGTGGCAAAGGCTCTGCCTACCACAGTAGCACTTAACATGAAAGAGGAAAAGCTTGTAAGACCATCTACAACTATGTTGAGGCTAAACTCAAATTTTCACCCTTTAAAATACAACTATTCATGTATTTTTAAGACTCAAATTGTTTTTTCCTCCAACCTTGCAGACTCATAATTTGAGTTCACAACTTTATTAAATTGTTTCAAAATGGTTAATCCATAATATTTATTTTATTGTTAATTTTTCTTGACATTATTTTTGTTTCAACATTCATGATTTAATTTTCTGAACATTTTGATCTAAAAAAAATTCAAAAATAATTTTACTTAAAGAATAAAAGCAAGTATAACAAAAAGATGGGTATTTATAGAGTTTGGGATGAGTTTTGAGGTTAGATCTAATTTAGATTAATTATAAAAATTATTTGACCGTTGGATTTAAATTTCAGCCATTGGATGTGAATTTTTCCCGTCAAGATTGCCTAAAAATAATCGTGGCCATTGATTATATATAGATGTTGGAATTAAAAATAAAATAAAATGGGAAACATCAACTTCTTTGGAGTAGCTGTTGGTATTTTTTATATAAAGGATCAGGAGCTTTCAAAATGGAGCCGTTGGATTTCAACGCCTCCTTCATGTGCCATGACACTTGTCACATGGAAAGGAGGTGAGTGGTAGACATTAGTCTGCGGCACAGGGCCTGCTTTTTTTCTCCTTTCACATGGGCTGCATAGTTGGCTATTGGGCTCCACATAAAATACTAGTCCAGGGAAGACTTGGATTGGAATTCCATCCAAAATTTGACATTTCTCAAATTTCCAACCCCCAAAATACATGGATTGGAGAAGAATTTTGAACTCAAAACTGAAAATTTGGATTTCCACCCCTCGGGTTAGAGATGGCCAAAGGTTGTAGAAAACTGGGATTTGACTCATTGGAAGGTTGTAGAAAACAGGGATTTGACTCATTGGACAATTGTGGATATATTTACCATAGCAGATTGTGGAGATCGAAAGAAATGGTTTTGGGATATTGCATTATGACCAGATTGAGGCTAGTACTATCCATTGCCAAACATGGCACAAATTTGTCAGAAAAGTAGAGGCATGATGCAGAAAAACACCACCCACTCAGCTGTTTGGGAAGTCCAAACACAGCTGTACAACGTTGGCAGAAAAAAAAAAAAAAGTGTAGAGAAGGAAATGCCAATTTTAACAAGATGTTTTTGTGAGGACCCTGGACCTTTCCTATTGAGAGTGTAATAATATACTAAACACACACAAACTGCATGAATGCAAGGACTCGAACCCAAGACCTTTTCTAGTAGAACAATTACTCCAAACCACTACACTAATGAATCCTTTGCCTAACAAGAAGATGAAGAAGAAGATGTGTTTTTAGGTGCCTAACAAAGCATTATAGCCGAACAAAACATAGAACGTGCAAGAAAAGGGCAGAGCCCATACAACAAGAAGGCCTAGAGGCCTAACAAAACATCCAACACAAAGATGTAATAATCATGCTTTCCTTTTTGTGTTCTGAAATTAAAACTCAAAAAGTAGAAGTAATTAACAACGAGGTATGCAGGTGTCCTTTCCAGGAAAGAACATGCGAAACAAAATTGTGTGGAAAATAAAGAGTAAAGAACAAGAGGCCAAAAAACAAAGATATTTTAGCCTGTTATAAGACTTGCTGATAGTAAATCCAGCAAATGCTTTTTTTCTCTTCCAATGCGACTGAAGCATCAAAGCTGAGCATGGAGTGAGGTTGTTTCAACTCAAGGGTTTAGATTATGCGGGGCGCCAGTTATTGCTCATTCATTCAGTCTATTAGACATTCTCAAGTACTTGGTCTATTTCTGAGGCTAAGGCGATTTGGGGTAAAAGAAGAAGCTTCTGATTCCACCAACAAATCAAAAGAAAATGTCTGTAAAAAAATTAGATCACTTCAACTAACAAGATGAATATTTTACGGATTGACCTTTCAGATTGCAATCAATGTTTTACAGTCCTCATGCTGGTTTTCTCAACATCTCGTGATGCTTCTAGGAAAAGCCAATTAGTAAACAAAGTAGGCCAACTTTTGTCATGAACTTATTACTTTTCCCTTTATGGTGTTTTCAGCAGTTGTATTTTTAAGACAGATTACTGATATGCGAGGTGCAGGTTATGCTCTCTTATATGGATTACTAATAAAAGAGTCAATTTTTCTTTAATTTGATCCAGGATAATTATCAAGTGAACTTTGTTAGATTAAAATGTATGACACATAACTTGTAAATCATACACTTATGCATATGTTCTTATAGGTGTAGAGACGATATCGGGGAGTTCCTGTCGACATAACAAATTGTCTACCCATTTTTGGCCTGTTCACCAATGAAGGTTGGGTACTTTCAACCAGTACTTTACATGCAAAATTCCTATGGAAATAACTCTCTTGCCTTTTCTCACGCATAGAAGGACATGAGCTTCTCGCTTAAATTCTCGCATTCTAATCTGTCAGCTCTTTCCACCTGTATATAATATATAAGATATTGGTTAGTTGTGGCACTTTGTAAACAAATTAGTTAGATCGAAGCAAGCTAAATATATGTTGTACAAAATTAACATACCTGAAGATGTATATTATAGAAGACCCTCCCTCCAGATGACTGGAAGGAAGAAGCATTTAGAACTTGAAGCCCCTCCTCCTCCAAAATTAGCAATATCTCAGATAATAGATTGTTGTGGGTCTTCAAGGTAGATATTTGAATTGCTACTGCTCTATCACTAAGCCGATAGGTTGAAACGGCAGATAATGAGCTCCGAGCTGTGCTTTTTATTTGCTTCTCCTCATGCATTGCAGCTTCTTGCTTACAAGCTCTTGATAAGAGCTCCTCCCTGTTTTGAATTAATCCCTCCACTTGCTTTTGAAGCTCCGGTATGTATTTCAGCACGTGCGAAATTGTATTTGGAATGCTTAACTTTTTCTGTAACAATCACATGGAATTTTCACAACTGTGAGTACGTAGTGTTTATTACTTTCTTGTGTTTAAAATTGAAAGTTACTAATACTCCCAAAGTTTTCCTTATGTCATATGGTTACATACGTTGTCAGACTGTTAATTCGGGCTGTACATGTAGATAAGGTGCGTTTTTGATTGAATCTACAGTCCAAATTCCTAGTCTGCCTATATATTATATGCAAAATATCTGACAAGAGAAATGAGGAAACTGATGAAGTTTGATGTTAATGAATAAAATCGTCATTTTGCACGTACCCCTTGATCGGCAGGTAGCAGTGAACGCAGTGAGGAATACAAGCTGTTCATCTTCTTGCGACGGTCACGCTCGCTAGCATTATGGTTAAGCTTCTTTGCCATTGTGGAAACGCCGGAGTAGTCGCGGCTGATAGTAGTGGAACGATCGAGGTCAACTTGTGGCTGATGAGATGGAAGGATATGAAGGAAGGACTCTGCACTCTGATCAATAGAACTGTCTCTGTTGAAGTAGTTCTGGTCATGACTTAAGAGATCCTCTGAAGGCCATGCAATGGTTGAAAACAAAGGGGGAGATAAAGCTAGCATTATGTGATGATCAGTTAATTTGGGGCTGCGTTTTGGCCAAATTTTCTTAGCAAGTGAGATGATCATGTCATCTATATATACAAACAACCGTCGTTTTCATGATTCATCTGAGCATTTGTTAATTAAAATATTGGTTTTTTTCTTTAAAAAAATGAAAATATGCTTTACAATAACATGGTTGTGAAAATGACTTGTCCACTTCCACTGTGTGTGGGCATGTGCCCTTTGTTGGGGTAGCGATCTACGTGGCTTAACCTTATGTATTATTAGTATTAATGTTTAGAGTTCAGCCTTTAATAGTAATAAACTCAAGTAATAAGTCACGTGAAGGATACCTGATTTCTTGGATGGAAATGTGGATGAAATTCGAAAATTTTGAAATTGGATGTTTCAATGAATTCGGGTGGTAACTTGGCTGAAATTTAATTCGGAGAGTTAAGTTCAATTAGCGTTATAGTTCGAACTCGAGTAAAACAGATGAAAATCCAATTGGAAAACATAAAGATAGAGACCCAAATAAGTCATGATAATTAGTTATCTCTCACTCTGAATGTTTATGCATAGAGGCGATGATATTGCAGTTTCGTTCTTTGAGTAACACTAGAGGGATTGTACTTTTTTGCCACATTAATTCGTTCATTATAGTGTGATAGTTTTTTAAATTTATAATTTATAATTCATGTATTAAGAACACATCAATTACAACATAATATGATCTAGTGTCGTTTTATCTTTGAGGGCTCTAGAGTTGGGTCGTATAAACATGTTATATATTGTTAAAATTCCCAACTTTGTTTTCGAATACTTGGAGTTGAGAAATGTTGATATAAAAGATGAGAGTTTTGTTTTTTCAAATGCATTTCATGTTCCTGCAAGCTCCTCTTTGGGCAGTTGGAAATACAAAGGGCAATTAAATGCTCCGTGGGTTCTTTTCCAGGAGAAAAAAATAGTCTCGCTCTCGCGGACATGAGTTTACTCAAGTTAGTTACAGTAAATATGCTCTTCACTCTATATCTGAGTTCAAATCCTCTTATTCGCAGTTTAGATTAAATTAAATAAAATCTTGTCTGTATAAAAGAAAAACAAAAAAAAACAAAAAATTGTCTCGGGTTTGGCTGAGGTCAAAACTGCAAAGGAAAATAGTTGGTGAGATTTCTTACAAGATTCACAAATAGTTGGATGTGCAGACAGCGCGTGTCAAGCATTATCATACACGAGGCCACGACAGAGCTTGCTACTTATTCCACGTGTATAAGCTGCTGTGTCCCATGGAGACCGCACGCACATCCACCTTATATGCAGAAACAAACATTTCTATGTCCATATATTTCACACAAGCAACAAATGACGTTTGCTTTGTTGACATTTTCCCTTGCACTGTGTTTTTCCTGTGCAGATGGTTTTCAAGTGTGCATTAATTAATTTCAATATAAGCTCATTGAGTATCTTTCCACGTTAGCTAAGCTCATATATATATTAACTATCATATTCTTTTCTGACGAATTATATAGTCCTATGATTTCATCGACTAATAAAGTTATCAAATGAATTGTAATTATATTGAAATGATAGAAAAGGATATATGAGTTAATATATGCTCTAAAGTTGAAAATATCATAAAAATTATTAAAATGGGTTCCCGCAATTATAGGAATTGAAATTGGGAATATTAAATTCAATATAGGACTTATTCTTTTAGAATATGCCATGATGCCACTTGGACTCGAACCGAGATGCTCTAGCATTGCTTCCTAAGAGCAGTGTGTCTATCGATTTCACCATAGCGGCTTATTTGAAATCATAATAACCTATTTTTATTCAATCGTTGAGATTGAATGAGTTAATTAAATGCAATATTTTTTTATGAAACCATTAAATTGATGAATAAAAACTTGTTTAAGAATTAGGGATTTAAACGTTTTCGTTAATAATATTTATTATTGATTTATTTATTATTTTAGAATGTCAATGTTATTTAACTGAACTAAAAATGTAGTTTTTTTTTGTAAGTTATTACTTTATGTTTTCCTAAAACAAAAATGTTACGTATGGTTGTAACTAGATTATTTTGACTTCAATCCATAGATAGATTTAAAATCAATGTTCTGTCTCGTTTGCATTTTTTAATGATTCATTTATTTTATTAATCTAAAATAAAAAAATGAATTTTATGGATAAAATATAATTTTTATATAACACAATTTCAGCGATACACTCAAGGGGTTTTTGTAAATATTTGCATAGTTAGTTTTATATGAATTTTTAGTGTTTTTCGTTGTGTAGAGAATTTGTGTTAAGATTTAGCAACCCGATTAAGTTAGGTATTAGTATGGGTGTATCAATTATATATCCTATTATGTATATATATATATATATATATACAGAGATCTTCCATTGAGTGACACCCTTGTAAGGCTCACTCTAGATTGTATTTTACTAATCCACACTGTCTATTTTGCAGATATTCATTCAAAGATCATCTCTACAAAAAATCACTTGAATCTGATATCACTTGAGCACGCAATTAAATTATTAAAATTTTAGTACTTTCTTTAAGTATCGTGTTCGTTGGTTTTGTTTAACACAATTAGATGTTTAAATGGTTTTTGATTTGTCTAATTTTTTGCAAGGGTGATATGTAAATGAAGACTTAAAAAATAGATGGTTTGAATAGTTAAAAAAAAATTTGTAGGGTACCCTAAAGGGTGTCTCTTAAATAAAATTATTTGAGAGATCTCTCAATAGAGGGCCAGGGGTAGGCATGGTCCGGATCGAATCGGTTTCACCTCAAAATTCGTGACCAAACCAATTAAAATAAAACAGTTTAGTTCAATTCGATATTGAAGAAGTAAGAATGGAAACCGAACCAGCCCAATTTAAGACATTTTGGTTCAATTTGGGCCTAAGCCCAATTCTTTTTTATTTTAAGTTTGTAAGCACAATTATTATTATTATTTTTTCTCATTTCTAGCATATCAAACCATCCTAAAATTTAACACACTAATATAATTAAAATTCAAATATCAATAACTTAAGTTTCATCAAACCTACATTCAACATCCTTATATAATTATTATCGAAAGAAAGGACTATACATGTAATATAAAATAAAATAAATATAAATAAACAAGTAGATCGTCGGGGTTTAGTTTAGGTCCGTTTGTCAAAACTCAAAACCAAATCAAACCATTATAGTCCAGTTTTCTTTTTAAACCGTTTGAATTCTCTTCAGGTCAAAATCAAACCAAACCAACTATGATGGTTTGCTTGGGCCAGTTTAGTCAGCTGGCCGAATTAATGTCCACCCCTAATTATAGGAATCAAAACAAGAGTGGAGCCGTCAAAAAATCATCAATCACACTGCTGCTTCATTTTTCAAGAGCGGGACTCCATAATAAGGGCGGTATTGTGATTACAGGTAATCATCATGAGTCATGATTAATCACTCTTATACTAAAAATGATAGAAATTCTTTGTCTAATTTAAAGTTAATTTAATTATGACAGTAAAAAGGGATAAAAAATTAGTTTTTGGGTCAATCATTATTAGATTTAACTACTTGAAAGAATTCCTCAACATATGTGTGTTACTTTCCATTCCGATGGGATTAGTAAGTGAAGAGCAAGTCAGACTCTGACTTTTCCCTTCCTCAACTTTCTCACTGCCGATCTATCACTACTTGGGAAGATTTGGTCAAGAAGTTCATATTAAAGTGCTTCCTCGCTCAAAACACGAACGCTTTGGGGAAAGAGATTATGGGTTTTGCTCAATAAGATGGAGATCCGTTTTAATTAAGAAAGTTGGAAGGGCTATAAAGATATGTTTTTTAGGTATCCTTCCTCGTCATGGTTTTATCACATGTGGCGAAAAGTCCAATAGATTTTTGAAGGTTTCAATCCCAAAGTCGAAGCACGTTTGAGTCAAGGGTTTTTATGAACTTAATAACTTCCCCCTCTATTGTGTTGTCAGTTGTTGATGTGAGGACAGATTGTCAATTTTTGGCGCCAAAAATCAGTTATTTCCAACGGCAAAAGAACTCTTTTTTGAGGGCAATTTGGGTGTCGGAAATAGTGAACACTCGGTATTTCCAACAGATGGTACTTTGTTGTCGGAAATAGTGTTTGTTCCGAGGATATTTGGAGTCCCTAGGAAAAAATTGGTTGCAAATGACTACTTTTTTTGTAGTTTTGTTGCCATGCCTTCTGATCATGGCTTCCAATTTTCAACTAGTATTTACATGGCATTGTCTAAAATTTACTTTTGTTTCGTTCATACTCCCATGGTTGAGACTAATCTTCTCCATAAGTACCTGCTACACACTGCCCATCAGAACCAAACATTCCTATGGGAATAACTCCTGCCTTTTCTCAGGCATAGAAGGACATGAGCTTCTCATGGTTGAGACTAATCTTCTCCATAAGTACCTGCTACACACTGCACATCAGAACCAAACATTCCTATGGGAATAACTCCTGCCTTTTCTCAGGCATAGAAGGACATGAGCTTCTCGCTTAAATTCTCACATTCTAATCTGTAACTTCTTTCCACCTGTATATAATATGAAGAAAAGATATATAAGTAGGGATATTCGTCGTTGTAAAAAAATTATTTATATGGAACAAAGCTAAATATGTTGTACAAAATTAGCATACCTGAAGATGTAAATTATAGAAGACCCTCTCTCCAGATGACTCCAAGAAAGAAGCATTTAGTACTTGAAGCCCCTCCTCCTCCAAATTTAGCAATATCTCAGATAATAGATTGTTGTGAGTCTTCAAGGTAGATATTTGAATTGCTACTTCTCTATCACTAAGCCGATAGGTTGAAACAGCAGATAATGATGAACTTCGAGCTGTGCTTTTCATGTCCTTCTCCTCCTGCATCACATCTTCTTGCTTAGAAGCTCTTGATAAAAGCTCCTCCCTCTTTCGAATTAGTCCTTCCACTTGCTTTTGGAGCTCCGGTATGTATTTCAGCACTCGCGAAATTGTATTCGGAATGCTTAATTTTTTCTGTAACAATCACATGGAATTTTCACAAATGTGAGTATGTAGCAGTAGTATTCTGTACTTTCTTGTCTTTAGTATTGAAATCTACTAATAACAACTGGGAAATTTCTTCACTTGTGTCAGACTGTTAATTCGGACTGTAGATATGTAGATAAGGTGAATTTTTGTTTGAATGTATAGTCCAAATTCATAGTCTGACGACATTTAACATGCAAAATTTCCGATGATAAATTACCAAACTAACGCAGCTCGATATTAACGAATGAAATCATTGTATACATACCGCTTGATCTGCAGGAAGCAGTGAACGCATTGAGGAATACAAGCTATTAATCTTCTTGCGACGATCACGCTCACTAGCGTTATGATTAAGCTTCTTAGCCACTGCGAAACCGCTGGAATTGTCCCCGCTGATAGTTGTGGAAAGATCGAGCTCAAATTGTGGCAGCTGAGATGGAAGGATATGAAGGAACGACTCTGCAGTTTGATCATTGGAACTGTCTCTGTAGAAGTACTTCTGGTCATAACCTATGGGATCCTCTGAAGGCCATCCAACGGTTGAAAACAAAGGAGGAGATAAAGCTAGCATGATGATGATCAGTTTGGGGCTGGTTTTGGTCTAATTTGCTTAGAAAGTGAGGTGACCATGTCAGTTATATATACAAGTTATAACTAGCCGTCGTTTTCATGATTCATCTCAGCATTTGTAAATTAAAATCTAGAAGATTAGTGCACTTAACTAAATAAAATACTGGATTATAATAAAATGGTTGAGAAAATGACTTCTCAACTTCCACAGCGTGTGTGGGCATGTGCCTTTCTTTTGGGAAAGAGATCGAGGTGGATTAACCTTTAAAATAATAATAATAATAATTAAATTAGGTTCCTATAGTTTTGGCTTCTATTTGATTTTTTTTTTTTTTCGAAATTTTGCTTCCAAAGTAAACAAAGATTTTAATTCTACATTTTGTGCGCTTTCTGTTGTTGGCGGACTCCTCCGTATTTTAGATTGAAATTAAGAATGAAATCTATCGCGTTTTTCTTATAAAAAAAAAAAATTTGACATAATTTTCAAGTTGCAGTTTCTGGACTTTTTCAAAATTAAGAAGAGAGTGGGCAAAAATAATTAAGCAGATTAATAAAAGCTTTGCAAATGCAGATTGCACGCGCGTGTCATGAATAAAATACACGAGGCCTGGTGAGAGTTTGTTGCTTGCTCCACGTGCAAATGCTGCTTTGTCGCATGGAGAGCGCACATCGCTTCATCTTCTCCTTTTTATTCCTGCAAGTTTATTAGCAGACTTGCAAACATGACGTTCCCTTTCTTGACATTTTGGCTTCTACTGTGTTTTTTAAGAATAATGGTTTCGAGTGTACATTAATTTATAAGGACAAAGCTAGTCATTGAAATGTTTAATATGCTGAAGTGTTTGGATAGACAAAGCTAGACATTTGGTAATATGTTATGTTTGCCAGTATTTCATTTGTTTAGAAAAAACCAATTGTTTTCCATAGGGTCTTTGATGGGAATGGTTGCTTTGCATGACTAGTCATCTACACTAGTCATCTGAATTGAATGGTTCTTATTTTTTTTGTGGCTTAAGACTCGAACACAACTTTTTACTTTCCAGGGTTTTTACTTGAGCATTCACCACTCTCTTATTTATTAGCTATGTCTTTGGCCGTCAAATCATGTTGTACATGCTTAGTAGGGATCTCGTGCCTTTTGGTGAAATTAATTTTCACTCTCTAAGAACCAAGACCATCGGTTATGATACAAAGCACAAAGGCTCACTTGTCTTGTCCCTATCTCATTTACACCCTTGTTTGAACACTATTGTGTTTATGTATGATCGTGTTTGGATGATGCCACTTTGGTCTATGACCCGTCATCTTGATAAGTTATGTTCCCACATTTAATGATTTAGCTTAACATAATTCTTGAAATATTTACGAGTCTGTTGTGCTATTGTTTGCCCGTTTTGCGTTTACTCCTGTGATGGAAGGGCAAAGTTCCCCACTGCCTTGAGAACCATAGACTGGTCAACAAGTCAGCTTTCTTTGGTGTGCGAGCGTGCCACTGCTAGTAATAAAAATTCTAGCAGACTTAGTTTGGAATGGATAACTTGCGCCCCAAGTTACTGATTTCTGCAAACAAACGATTGTGAATTTGGGTGAGGAATATCTCCCAAGTAAGTTCTTTTCTTGCCTCAGACTGGTGAGGACTTTAACAATTTATCTCAGTATAAAGAGGTTGTTCTGGCCAGAATGGTTGATGGAATTTAAACTGTTTTTAGGCAGAACTGATGGAATTTAAACTGTTTTTAGGCAAAACTGCCTTTTACAAAACTATAACAATAAGTACTAATGCTAGAGAGATGAAGATACAGTTGGAACTTCATTTCTGCCTGGATGGGAGGCTCTGTTCTGGGCTGGACTGGAAATGCCCGGGCTGGACTGGAGACGCTTGGGCTGGACTGGAAATGTCCGGGCTAGACTGGAACTGTCCGGGCTGGACTGGAACTGTCCGGGCTGGACTGGAACTGTCCGGGCTGGACTGGAACTGTCCGGGCTGGACTGGAACTGTCCGGGCTGGATTGGAACTGTCC